ATTTTTTGTTGCAGTTTGGCCGGGGCTGGGTTTGAACCCACCACCCTTGGTATATGGGGCCGGCGCCCTACTCGCTGAGCCACAGGCGCCTCCCCATATTCTTATTCTTTTCACCACTAAAATGCAAGTTCATATCAACTACCATCTCCCCAGCTCCTAGAACAGTGCCTGACACAAAGGTTTATCTGCTGAATAGACAAATACCTGCTGTTCAGGTCAATGCAAACATTTATTACTCAAAAATAAGACTTTTTTTTGGCACTGATTTTTGCAGTAAGAAAACAATGAAAATAAGTTAAGTAAGTCCTGCTCTCAGGGAGTTTACGACACAGAACACGACCTCGAGGAAAGAAAAGCATTTTGCTTTCCCGAAAAGTTGTCAATTTTGTTCAGTTCTTCAAATAAGGTTTTCTGTATCCCATCTCAAGAGGGTTTCCCTTCTAATTCCCATCTAGAGAATCCCTGCATAAGGAAAGAAGCACAAAGGACTCTGGTTGTTTTGATAATCTAGAGATTGAAACCAAGGATCTTTCTTGGCTTCCTTGCATCTTCAAGGGCTAAGCCCCAGCCGGGGCCAACTCTGAGAATTTAGATTCTACTCCAACATCTATAACAAAGATCCATTACTTACGGGGCACAGCACTCCGCCTGTAGGTGTCTCTGTCAGCTTCCCCTCTTGTGAGTCTTGCAGGTCGTTCGCCTTCCAGACCTAAGAAATTAAAATACATTATGAATCTAGGACAAGTGGGAACTCTGTTCCCTCAAGGCCAAGAAAACTGGCAATGCTCTCCTGTTCTCACTCAGCAACCACATAGTTATGTTGGGTTAACAGGAACATATAACATCTTGTACTCAAAACTGTCAGCCATAGACTTCTATTTCCCCACAAAAACTTGTCATCATTGAGAATTTGGTTCCGCAAAGGCCTAGAAAACTCATATTCCAGTTAAAATGCCACATATTTGCAAAAAGACTGCTTTCTTCTGTTTCTCAACAAAAAGGCATTTTCCAATTTTTAGCAAATTGAGAAATCTAGCTGTTTCTACAAAATACCTGAATAGCCAAAATTCACAACTTTACAGACCTAAGTGGAAAATGTAGTATGCAAATAGAACAGAGGGCATCTTAAACTTAAAAGCCCCAACCCCAATATTAGGTAGGCATTAAAAAATAGCTGGGCATTGTGGCGGGCACCTGTAGTCCTAGCTACTTGGGAGGCTGAGGCAACAGAATCACCTAAGCCCAAGAGCTGGAAGGTGCTGCGAGCTGTGACCCCAAAGCACTCTACTAAAACTAACAAAGTGAGACTCTGCCTCTTAAAAAAAAAATTAAAAAACAAACAAACAAACAAAAAGTCAGGCATTGTGGCAGGTACCTGTAGTCCCAGCTACTTGGAAGGCTGAGGTAACAGGATCACTTAAGCTCAAGAATTTGAGATTGCTATTTGTTATGATGCTATAGCACTCTACCAAGGGTGACAAAGTGAGACTCTGTCTCCACCTCCTCCCCCAAAAGCCATACCCAGCTATGTTTATTAAATCAGAATCTGTGAGGTACAGATAAATGCTAGTATTTTTTTTTCTCCAGGTGATTCTAAGATGCAGTAGAGAACCTTTGCTGTATACCTAACTCAATCTAACCACTCGAACCCCTTAGAAACTTTCACAACAAAAAATTCCTGAACTCTACAAAGTCATTCTCTTTTTTTTTTTTTGAGACAGAGGCTCAAGCTGTCACCCTGGGTAGAGTGCTATGGCATTACAGCTCACAGCAACCTCCAACTCCTGGGCTCAAGCGAGTCTCCTGCCTCTGCCTCCCAAGTAGCTGGGACTACAGGCGCCCGCCACAACGCCTGGCTATTTTTTGGTTGCAGCCGTCATTGTTGTTTGGCAGGCCCAGCTGGATTCGAACCCGCCAGCTCAGGTGTATGTGGCTGGCCCCTTAGCTGTTTGAGCCACAGGCACCGAGCCCAAAGTCATTCTCTTTAAAAAAAATTTTTGAGACAGAGTCTCTCTCTGTCCCCAGGCTGGAGTACCATTAGGGGAACCTGGAGTGTCTGACAATTATGTTTAGCAGTCTCTCTACTCATCACCCCAGCCTGCTCTCTGCCAGTTCCTACAAAGTTCATTTGACAAAACCATAACCTTGACAACATGTTAACTGTGAGCCGGTAGTCATCTCCAGAGTCAGAAAATAAAGAACCACATGCCACATATGGATGCCTATCCTTTCAGACCATGATTACACAAATATCAATTCTCCATTCTACTTTGTTAATTTCCCCTGCCATTCCCAAGAAAACTCTCCAAAACTCTTTGTTGCTTTCACATGTGATAAACAGCTTTGCTCTGGACTCCTTGGGGATAAGTGCAACCTCACTCTGCTAGAAAATAGAATACACTACCACATGCCTGGATATTTGCACAAGCATTGGGGAAGAAAGCCATAAACTAATATTCCATTCATGTTTAAAACAATATCATATCATGGATGGCCTGAAGACCTGAGTCCAGTTGTTACAGGTCCCAAGCCAGAGAACATATGTTGTAGACATTGACTAAAGTCTTGCATGCCACAGTCCCTATGACTTCAACACCAATGTGTTATAAAAAACATTTCCAGCTCAATGCTCATAGCACAGTGGTTACAGTGCCAGCCATGTACACTGACACCTGCAACAAAAAATAGTCGGTATTGTGTGGGGCGCCTGTAGTCTCAGCTACTTGGGAAGCTGAGGCAAGAGAACTGCTTGAGCTCCAGAGTTTGAGATTGTTGTGACACCAGGGTACTCTACCAAAGGTGACATAATGAGACTGTCTCAAAAAAGAAGAAAAAAAGGAACACTTCCATCCCTCACACAAAAGAAACTACCCCCTCCAAAGGACTGCTTCATAGCCAAGTGGAGGCCATTTTATTTGGCCCTATACCTTTCGGCCGAGGTCTCCCTGTTTCTGGACGGCTGCGGCGCAAGGTGGCAGGCACGATCTCAGGGGGCAAGTGGAGGTAATCACGGAGATACTGGATACCCTCATTGGTAAGGTACCAGTAGAAGTGTCTCCAGGCAAACTGTTCCTTCACATAGCCTCGTGATTTGAGAGACTGTAAGGTAAAAAATTCATTAAGATGTAACTAGGAGCTTGGAGTTGGAAAGGAGATGCAAAGCTTCATAAATAAGTTTGCAAGTGTATTTCCCTGCCCTTTAAGGCAGCAAGCAACACAAGCTGTCCTAACCTCTCCTTGGAATTTGCCTTAATTGAAAAACCCTCCACCTCCATCCAAATCCAACAGCCTCCCCCCTTTCACATTTCTACCTGCATGGCCTTCATAACATGAAGGTTGGGCACGTTCTTGTCTGCTAACTCTGGGTGCTTAGGCATATGGACATCCTTCTTGGCCACCATCACACCCTCCTTAAAAAGGAGTTCATAAATGGCAATCCGGTTCTTCTTGGGCATCAACATCTGCAAGGAAGAGCTTTTCAGAGCAATGCGGCCAGAGTCCACTAATCAAGTTCACGACCCCAAAATGGTCACGCAAAACTACCAAAGTCAAACACACCCTAGAAAACATAGAAAGAACTACAAACTGCAAAGACACCAGGTCCCTCCTCCACCCCCCAAAAACAATTCAGGTGAAAAAAAAATTGCCAGGAAAGTTCGAACAAAACCGAGAACAAGGGTATTTGCTCCAGACTTTAAGTGCTCACAAAGGTATACGGGGGATGGAAGCAGGGACGAGACTCAATGTTCTCAGGGTATTTGGGGACCGTGAGTGTACCTAATGAAGAAACGCGCGACTGCCCCTCAAAGTACTCAGGGAGGGCCAGAAGAGTAAAGACCTCGCTTCACAGGCCGCTGGCCCCAAACCGAAAGACCAAGGGCCTACGCACCTTCATTCCTACCACTCCTCCCCCAAATTAGAGCTCCAGGGCCAAGCAGGGAGACAGTCTGAAGGTGTCTTTTCCCGAGGGAAAAGCGTGCAGACGGGACGCTGTCTCCCTAGCCTCGCCGGGCTAGTCTCCACCACTCAAGTGCTTCATCCTTCCGCCATCCAGTTGCCAATCTTTGCCTACCAGCGACCTCCTATCCCTTAAAAAACGCCCCCATCCCCTCTCGCTGCTCAGAAATGGGTCTTTGTGGAGAATAAGAGAGGCCCCCCGCCCTGACCCTGGGGAGGGGCGGCCACTACAGTGGCAAGATAACCCGGATGGGGGACGATGGAACCCAGACTCCGGAGGACCTCACCGCGGCGTCTACAGTGTCCGGAGCCGAGGCTGGAAAGGAAAGAGCATGCGCCGCACGGCGTCTCTTCCGGGCTGGCGTGGCTCCGCCCCCGCTAGGACCCCTGCGAGCCTGGGGTGGCCTCGGTGGTGCCTGAGAGACGGACAGGGATGACAGAAGACCCTGACCACCTTGGGGGCGCACGCAGTAGGAAACCACAGCTGGGCTTTTTTTGAGTTTGTGTGCTTTGTCAATAAATGGACGCTTACGACGTCTGACAGTTAAGCTCGCGAGCTTGCCACCGTGCGCTTACCTTGGCAGCACTGCATAAACAGCTCCCTAAGGTTTCGTAACCTTGGTGTATCAGTGTCTCACAACTGTGTTCCCCTCGACGTGTGGCTGTGCTTTGGTGAGTGGCGTTCATTATTATTGTTGCGTGTTTTTGTGTGCCCTGGCGAGAATGTCAGAGCTTGAATTAGAGCAACGAACAAAGATTAAATTTCTTGTTAAACTTGGCAAGAGTGGAAGTGAAATCAGGGACATGTTAGCCCAAGTTTATGGGGATAATGCCATGAAGAAAACCGCAGTGTACAAGTGGATTAAACGTTTTTCTGAGGGAAGAGAACGCGTCACTGACGAAGAGAGGTCAGGGCGACCAGTGACGAGCAGAACTGATGAAAACATTGAAAAAATTCGTCGAATTGTGCGTCAAAATCGTCGGCTGACTGTGAGAAGCATAGCAGACCAAGTAAACATCGATAGAGAAACAGTTAGGAAAATCTTAACTCAGAATCTTGGCATGAGACAGGTATGTTTGGGCTGTCCCTTTAGAAACAGCTACTTGGTTTTTTCCCGCCCAAAATTTACTATGTTAGTATATGCTCTCCGACTAGGGAAAGAGATTATGCAGATAAAATGGTAACAACAAAATAAAAGAATCTCATCAACCAGAGAAATTCTCCCAAACTCATATGCCCCGACACAAATATATTTTTTGATATAAATAGGATGTTTTGTGTATGTGTAGTATGTATGATATGTTCTGTAAGACGTTTCTTTTCTTATTAATGTGTCATGATTCTCTTTTCCTGTTAATAACTACAGTTTTAATGACTACATAATATAATAATAGTCCCTTGGTGATTAATCACCTTATAGTTAGATTAATATTTAAAAAAAATCTTTCACCATGGGCTCAGCGCCTGTAGCTCAGGTTGCCAGCCACATGCTGGCAAGTTCAAATACAGCCCAGGCCAACTATAACCAAAAAATAACTGGGGGGCGGCGCCTGTGGCTCAAAGGTGTAAGGTGCCGGCCCCATATGCCGGAGGTGGCAGGTTCAAACCCAGCCCCGGCCAAAAACTGCGGGGAAAAAAAAAAAAAGTAGCTGGGTGGCCGTTGTGGCAGGCACCTGTAGTCCCAGCTACGTGGGAGGCTGAGGCAAGAGAATGGCTTAAACCCAAGAGTTTGAGGTTGCTGTGAGCTGTAACACCGTGGCACCCTACCGAGGGAGATATAGTGAGACTCTGTCTCAAAAAAAAAAAAAAAAAAAAATCTGACTCAGCGCCTGTGGCTCAAGTGGCTAAGGCTCCAGCCCCATACACCTAAGGTGGCGGGTTCGAATCCAGCCCGGCCCAAACAACAATAATGGCTGCAACCAAAAAATGACCAGGCATTGTGGTGGGCACCTGTGGGCCCAGCTACTTGGGAGGCAGAGGCAGGAGACTCGCTTGAGCCCAGGAGTTGGAGGTTGCTGTGAGCTGTGATGTCACAGTACTCTACCCAGGGGGAGATAGAGCTTGGGGCTCTATCTCAAAAAAAAAAATCTTTCACCTTGGCTCAGCTCACCTAGCTCAGTGGTTAGGATGCCAGCCACAGGCACCATGCTGTGGGTTAGAACCCGGCCAGGGCCTGCTAAACAACAATGACAACAACAACAACAAAAATAGCCAGGTGTTGGCACTGTGACAGGTGACTTCAGTCCCAGCTACTGAGACTAGGGAGGCAAGAGAATCGCTTAAGCCCAAGAGTTTGAGGTTGCTGTGAGCTGTGATGCCACTGCATTCTGTGGAGGGTGACATAGTGAGACTCTGTCTCGAAAATAAAATCTTTCACCATCATAAGTAACAATGCTACACATGCACTTTTGCCCAATATTTTCCTTAGGGTAAATTCTTAGACGCATAATTGTTGAGTTACAAACCATACCACATACAGGTTTCTGAGACATGCCACATTGATGTACAGAAAGGCCTTATCAATTATACTTGTATTAGCAATTATTAGCAAAGCTTACTCCCCTATTAACCCTTCTGACATTGAGTGATATCATTCTGGTGTGTATTTGTCAGTTTCTCAGGCAAGAAATGTTAATCTCACTATTGTTTTAGTGTTAATTTTCTCTCTCTCTTTTTTTTTAGAATTCACTCTGTGAAAGTTGTCACAATCAAAATGAAGTCACTTGTGATAAAAACCCTGACACACAGAGCTAAGGAAGGCCATGAAAGGAAGATTCTTATGCACAAATGCTTGATAATAAGAACTATCACAAAAGACTCTGCAAAAACTACAACCTTGAAAAAGAGCATAAAAATCTTAAAAAAAAAAATACTTCTGGGAGAACATCTGCCCAACAGCTGCCTTTCCAGCCTCAGACTGTGCCACGCTTGTTATTGATTCTTGTTGCCAAGGATAATTACCATGGTACCAAAAATACCATGTAATTCTCTTTATTTTTCCTTTGTATTCCTTTACTTAACCTAAATATACAGATAGCTAGTACTGTGGCATGTACACATACGTATTCCCATTACAATGCCTATCCCTGAATAAATGTAATTTTCCTTTAGAGAGCCTTCTCTGTTAGTTAGGTTGATATTTCTTTTATAAATTATCTGTTCATTTCCATTACCTCTTTTTCCATTCAGAGTTTATTCTTTTCTTACTGATACATGTATGAAATCATTCTTTACATGTTAATGCTATTAACCCTTTGTCACATGTTTCAAGTACTTCTGTCGTTTTCCACTTGTTTTGATTTTCATAGTATTTTGAAATATTCTTTATATTCTTTTTAAAATTTTTCCCTTATAAAACTCTGTGATTATATATATTCAAATCATTATGGTTTAAGACATGTACAGTGCTTCAAATGTCATTCCATATCTCAAGATTATATAAACATTCACCTACAGTTGCTCAAGTATTTTTGTAGTTTCATTGTTTAAAAGTACATATTTATTGTACTATCAGTTTTGCAAGGTAAAAATAGATCTGGGACCAGGCCACTTCTAGAGAGTGAGAGGCTGTCTCAGAAAAAAACTTCTGGGGATTGGTTGCATAACAGTGTGAATGTACTTAACACTT